CGGTTGGTGGCACTTGTCACTGCAATGACGGAGCAAAAATTAGGAAGCGCTTGCGTTGAATCTGAGAGGCCAATGAGGCGCAGGTCCGTCGTGATCAATATATGTTAAAGCAACACCTCCAAATCGATTTGGTGGGATAAAAGCGGTCGAAAGTGCAAATGTGGATGCCGTGCCGACTGCAAAGAAAAAGAAACAAGGGAGATCGCCGATGAGCCTTCAAGGAAAGAACCCCTCTTTACCCTTGAGATAAGGAGGGGTGAGGCTAAACGAGGCGTCTGAACTAGTTTGCTCCGGTGAAATTTATTGCTTGCTCGTGCCAGCAAGAAATGAGGCTGCAATCGCATTGCACCAATGCAAACAGTGACATATGCACCCACACAAACAAAGAAACATGACTGCTAAGCGAATTAGAGAAAGTCATAGAACCGGCACCATTTCTTCCGGCAGTTTACACGCAATCGCGCAAGGACCACCCAGCCAATCACCAGACATGGTTTACGGACTACTTGATTTTTCCTCAATGGTCCTGCCGCGATGGCTAGAGCACAGACGATTAGAGAACGGGTGAATGCCCTAGGACTAAGCCTTGGAGAGGAGAGGGACCCGAGAGAGCGCAGAGGTTTAAAGGGCTGAGTTCAAGTAGTCCGTGGACCCACCAGATCTTTACGCTAAAAAGTGGGCGGATCAATGGAAATAGCGGACTCATCAAGTTGACACTTTTATGTCCTTATAGCAGCTTCCCAAGGTGAATTTCTGTTCAGCGACACTACTTGTTCTCTTGGGTAGGCTCCGCATCTTTTCACCTCATTGTTCCCGAAGGTAGAGATCCCGCTGGGTTGATGCTTAAAGGACGAATTCACGCTGGAAAAGCAACCCATTTCAAATTAACCTAGGGATGGTGAGTGGTACACGAAAGAAGGAAGAACCATGAGAAACGGCCCAGAACCCGAGAAATGGGACCCCTTCCTTGCCCGTTGATTTGAGCATTGATGCGACTCTCATCGCTGTGCCCTCTTCAACACTACGCTCTCTCAGCTATCTAATCACTCGCCACGTATAGACTGCGGCGAGTGATCAGATGATCGGTGGGCGGAGATCGCCGGACCCGCCAACTTTGAGGCATGATAGGTCGCCGAGGTCAAATTTTTCATGCGAATTGCGCGTCAGTTCGCACCCTCAGGAGGTCCGTGGGTCCCTCAACTAGGTCAATTACTTTTCTTCGACCTTCATTCTAATCGTGAATTCCTCCTTTAAAAGCAATTTCACGATGGAAAGCAACCATTAAATTAACTTAGGAGGTCGAGTGGTAATAACGAAAAAAACAAATCATGAGAAACGCCCAGACTAAAAAATGGGGGGGGGGATTCCTTCCTTGCCTAACTTGATTTCGCTATTAATGCGCTATCCCTCCTATGACCTCTTCAACCTTACGCTCTCGCAGGACCTCTTTCATCGGCACTATACAGGGGGCAAAAAAAGACATTTTGCCTATGTCGGACTTCGGCTCTTTTTTCTTCGCAGAGATTGCTGTCGTTGACGGGAGTTCCTCAGCAGAGTATTCCCTAAGTGTTCCTCTATTAGTGTACGCAGGCTCTCCTTCACTGCCCTCACCGTCTTCAGAATATGACGTCATCTGTCACCGTCGTCAGGCTCAAGGAGGTCTACCGTAAGAGCTTCAGCCTGAAGCTCTTACGCAATTTCGTGAATCGATTTAATGTTGGATAGTTTTCTAGAGGCATTAGCTACCACTGTGCAAATCCCCTCGGAACTAGCTTTCCAGTAAGGGTCGTTATGGTACACGATCCTTCGAAGACCCCATTGAGATCGACCAGTGCACCATGTTTCCAGGGCTAATTCTTCTGATGCCGTCCACGTACGTGGCCACTATGAAGATTTTCTTATAGAATGGAATGCACTCTTTAATAATAAGTTGGAACCGTTCGGTCTGAGTTGAGTAAAATGTGCTTAAATCCATCTGGAAGTGGAGGCAAAAATGTCTTTTTTTGCCCCCCCTGTATACCTGCACGAGTTATAATAATCAGGGGCTATTCCCCACCACCGCTAAACGCGCCAAAAGTGAGCCATGCTAGATCGCTGAAGTCAGATAGTTTGCTGCCAATTGCGCGTCAGTACCCACCCTCAGGTGATTCTCTGACCTCGTTCCTATCACGAATTGTTCCTTTAAAGGCAGAATTTACGACGAAAAGGCATTCCATTCCAAGTTAAGTTAAGGATGGCGTGTGAAAAAAATGAATAATGGAGGAAAACCATGAAAACGGCCCAGAACTCGAAAAAATGGGAGCTCCTTCTTGAACCATGCTAAGGTCCCGGGCACATCATACCGCACACCTCAAAATCAGAAATTCGTATTCCTTCCTCAGTAGATTCACGACACTCCGACCTCATCGCGAATCCTCCTTGAGGCCAATGGTTACGATGGCCAGTAGGCAGTGCGCTTCTGATGTCACCATTGAAAGTCATTGGTAGAAAGACGTAAGGAGCTATCTCAACCACACTTACTCAGAGCGCTGGAGAGTCTTGCCCAAAAATGGCCTTTGAACACATTCACGCCGATGGCCGCCCATATAGGCTGCCAACAACATGAGCTCCTGGGACGATGGCAGCCCATATGGGCTGCCAAGTGATAATCGCTTGCCTAGGCGCTAGGAAATGGACAGATAGGTGGGCAAACCTCGTAATCGAGTGTAAAATGCTTTTAAATTCCTTCACGGGAAAGTGAATAAATGCTCTCTTTTCGTAACCACTATTTGTCGTTCTGATCGAAATCCTACTGTTATATGTTTAGATAATCTTTACGCATTGGACATTGCAGAAATTATTTTGTGACATTCATGTTTTTGTTCATTTACAAAACAAAATCTGCGGTTATGTGGTGAGGCGGCGGCGCCCACAAAATTATCGTCCGTCCCACGCGACCGGCGACGGAAAGGGTGCGTCCGTCGTGCACGCGGGCTCCTGCAGTGGAATTCAACACGTCAGAACGTGTGCAGATCGCGGATAGAATCCACAAGGTTCTGCTTTGAAAGAAACTTCCCACTCGCGGAGATCGGTGAAATGCAGCGGTGTCAGTGAGAAGATTACAGCGAAAGGAGATGAAGAGAGAAACTTCATAGAAATGTCACTATTATCATATTATAAATATGAATAAGAAGCACTAAAAATGGAGTCATTTAGTGAGATGTTATTTATTGTCAACTCTATATCTTTGCTAATCGCGGCGCTCCTGTCCTTGGGGAGAACTTTCAAAACAGGGCCAATGACACTAGAACTAAGCTCATGAGAAGGGAAATACGCTCGGGAGAACAGAAATTGCTCACATCCTCCACGAGAAACTCTTCCCCTCAGGCTTAGTCCCAAACACAATAATTGGTTGAATCTCTCCGCTCATGGGATTCCCCCCCCCCTTAACAACAAGCGCCAGCAACCTAAGCGCCCTGATTGCTATAACAGCCTTTTGCTATTCCTTTTCTTCTCTTCCTGCCGCTGCCTTTGAATATCCACGCGTTGGAATGTAATTCGAATCGCAGAACCTTGTGGATTCTATCCGCGATCTGCACACGTTCTGACGTGTTGATTCCACCGCAGAAGCCCGCGAAGACTTGCCTCGTCCGGATCGCCGCGCAGCCCGCCGCGCGATTCGCCGCGTGCAGCCCGACGCACCAAAAGTCCCGCACCCCACGCGACCGAAAAGTGGAAAAGGGGCGTCGTCGTGAATGTGTAATAACGTCATCAGAACCACACTGCCCTCCGCCACCGTGATCAGTGCATTGAAAGGAGGAATTCACGATAAGAACGAAGGTCGAAGAAGGGAAAATTGCATAGTTGGGAGACAGGCGGACCTCCTGAGGGTGCTGACCGACGCGCAATTGGCAGCGAAAGATTTGACCTCGGCGATCTAGCATGGCTCACTCTTGGCGCGGTTGGCGGGGTACGCCCACCGACTATCTAATCACTCGCCGCAGGTCTATACGTGGCGAGTGATTAGATAGCAGAGAGAGCGTAGTGTTGAAGAGGGCACAGCGATGAGAGTCGCATCAATGCGCAAATCAACGGGCAAGGAAGGGGTCCCATTTCTCGGGTTTCGGGCCGTTTCAAATGGTTTCTTCTTCATCCCTGCTCCACTGACCACCTCTACCCTTATTTTCATGCTAACTTCATCAATTCTGCCTTCAAAGCTAAATCCCACCCAGGATGGAATTGAAAAAAGCGTCGCCAACTGGAAGATGCAGAACGATCAGCATGGCAGTGTGGGCGGCAAAAACTGGGCGACAAACTCCCAATCTGAATGCAGCGGGCTATGAGATGTAGCTAATATTAAAGAACTGCATGAAGCAGTACAGTCCTAGTAAATCGCTAAAAGCTGCCTTTAAAAGTGCGAGGCGGAATTCTGGTCATACGAACAGCCGTCAGAATGTCTGTATAATCCGTTTCAAAAAAGTTCCTAAGCAGCCGCATTCAGTAAGAACTACTGACAATTGTCTGCTGGAGGTATCGAAACTTTGATGTAGCGTTTTAACTCTTTTGTATGAAATGAGCAACAATTATTTTGTGACCATATTTACAATTCCCCTAGTAGAATATGCTGTTAAATACGCAGAGCGCATCCTAGGAAAAGAAAAATGGGCACTATCAACATACCGTAAATGTACCTCCGAAGTGAGAAGAAGTCAACATATTCAAATACGTTATGTGTTACAAATAATTGTTGCCCATAGAAGACGAATGTAGAAGCATTAGGAAATGCACCAGCCAAGAGAACTCTGAAATAAAGTGGTTAAAAGCTGTGGAAAGGGTTTGATTCAGTAAAGGTTCGAATGTCCTCTTAGCATCCTCCCCTATTAACAATTTAACAGGCCTCGAGAGCTCTCCACTAAACCGCATAATTCCACAAGACTGTAGACCAATAAACTTCATGTATAACCATAACGATGAACAGACATAAGGCGTGAAATTGTATGAGCACAACAAAGATATGTAGATCATAAAGATGGAAGACAAGTGGCGAAGTCGGAATATCCGGTCATCAGACCGGTCGCAGTACGGTCCGTCGGCAGAATCCTCGTTGTTCCTCTCGTCCTCGCTCCGCCCCTTCGATCGTCTTCGAACCGTCCGACATCTGGAAACATAATGCCTAAGCGCTTCAAAATAAACATACGGCGTGCATCGGTCTAGAATATAACCTATAGCCTTATTTGAATTACCCTAACCGTTACATCTCCCCCCTTTCGTGAAGTCCGTCCTCGGACTTAGGGTTGAATAGGAGGTCGAAGGGAGCTATCAAAGAAGTGAAGGTCGGTTATGAGGCGTCTGTTCTGACACCATCGTACCACTCTGTTCCATACAGCTGCCTTCCGGAGGCAGGGGAGGAAACCCAAAATGAACATACCGTCTTTTGCACGGGAGAGCGCGACATTGAGGCGTCTCGCGTCAGAGAAGAAGGAAGCCGCTGTTGGCTCCACCTCTGTGCGTGTGGTACACAGTATGATCACAGAATTTTCCTTTCCCTGTGCGCTGTCAACGGTGGATACCGTGACGTCTGTCTGCTGTAAAATACGCTCGCATAGCATTTCTGATCTACGAAGTTATACGTCCGCACACTAGGAAGATATGTATTTCCATTAAGGACTCTTTACGACGGTTTACGTTCCTTGCGGGCGGGAATCTACTCTCAAGATTATTAGGTTGTAGGGAAAGTTCTCGCGGTTTTTCGAAGCACGCCTTTTTTTACCTGTACAATGCCTTCCAGCAACTTGACTTGTGCATATATAAGGACGACACGTCTGTGCAAGTTACCTGTCATCATGAGCTGCAAGCTCGAGCATACGTCATTTCTGCAAAATGGAGCTTTCGAAGCAGTACGTTCGTGGTCTTCTGCTGTATGACTTCAAATATGGGAATAGCAGCCTCATCCAACGTCGCATCAACGCTGCATTTGGAGAGGGCACAGTGTCCGAACGCACTGCACAGGATTGGTTCAAACGCTTCCGTGAAGGAGACTTCAGCCTAGAAGATTCTGCACGATCGGGGCGTAGACCCGAAGTCGACACTGGTCGCTTGCGCCGGTTGGTGGAGGCGGACCCGCGGCAGACTACACGTGAATTAGCGCAAGACCTGAATGTCCACTTTACTACCGTCGCCGATCATCTGCAACGGCTGGGCAAAGTACACAAGCTGCCACAGTGGGTACCTCACCACCTGAGTGAAGGCGATCGTCAGCGACGTGCCGAGGTAGCTACTCAGCTGCTCTCGTACAGGCGCACGGATGACTGGTTGGAGTCCATCGTTACAGGAGATGAGAAGTGGTGCCTGTACGTCAATATCAAGCGCCGCCGACACTGGGTTGACAAGGATGAGCAACCTGAGCCGCAGCCAAAGGCAGGTCTTCACCCTTCGAAGAGTTATGATCTGTGTTTGGTGGGACTGGAAAGGTATCACACTTACGGCAGATCTCTACTGTGAGCAACTGGATAGACTGGCCGCCAAAATCGCAGAAAAGCGTCCAAATAGTGGTACGATCCGATTCTTGCACGACAACGCTCGCCCACACACTGCAAGAGTGTCTCGCCAGAAGCTACTCGACTTTGGGTGGGAGGTGTTGCCTCACCCGCCGTACAGCCCGGACCTTGCCCCGACAGACTACCACCTTTTCCTGTCGCTGTCCAACGCCATGCAAGGAAAAACGTTCGATAACGAGCATGATATAGATCGCTGGTTGAGCAACTTTTTTGAATCGAAGCCAGAAAAGTTCTTTGCCGAAGGCATCAAAAGTCTGCCCGAAAAATGGCGAAGAGTGATAGAACGTGATGGTGATTACTTTGTTTCCTAATATGTTTTCTTGTTGATAAAAAATTAAGGTAATGATATGTGTCAAAAACCGCGAGAACTTTCCCTACAACCTATATATTTCCAGCGGGTCAAATGCCAAACCCTAGATTTCCAGTGGCACTCATCAATACCCCATCATATTCTGTACAATCGGACACTGGTTCCCATAGCAATATCGCAGAGGCCACTACAGCTCATGTACTTGTGTGCTTTCTTCTAGCTAAAGGTTTTGCGCCAGCGCAAATCATGGTAATCTGTCTGAGGTGATTCTAAGCTGCTTATGGTGTCTCGATCAGCAGCATTTTCATCACGGTACAGGCGATCAACAGATTGCGCTGCCGCAAAACCTTTAGCTAGAAGAAAGCACACAAGTACATGAGCTGTAGTGGCCTCTGCGATATTGCTATTTGAACCAGTGACCGATTGTACAGAATATGATAGGATATTGATGAGTGCCACTGGAATCCTAGGGTGGCATTGTGAAACCGCGTGCAGTAGATCGTGACGAGAGATTCCGCGGACGCAAGTGAGTGATGCCGTCGAAAAGATTCTGATTGAGATTACATCGTTTCTAGTGCGGACGGTTAGACCGTCGCAGGGTCACTGCGTGGTCGTCACTCAATGAGACGATCGAGAGCTTACGCGACAGCTAGGCGGGACAACTTGAAGCCCTAAACATATGGAAGGAGCATTGTTTGCTATACCGATGAGCTAATTCGCAGCTTCCGGAAGCGTTGATATAACGTAATCGAGTCAGCGGCTTCTGGCACCATCGAGTCCCCCTCATCTAAAATAAATCTTGCTACCGAAAGTAACAATCGTGATCGCGCGCAACATTCTGCAGGTGGGTCAAATGCGGTAGAAGAACCGTAAAGATATACTTTAGTATTGTATACCAACTTGATACTAATCCCTAGTGAGCGTCTACTTGACTTAAAATGATGGTGCGTCGATATTCCTTTAAGAACAACATATCGCCGTTCACCGGCCGGCTTCGAGACCGAGCGTCGCGCTAACGTGACGTGTTATTATTTCTCACTGAGAGTGTGTTACTCCTAGTTGCGTATTTAGGAAACATAAACTTCACTAGCCTGTCGAAGCTCGTGCTGAGAAACTCGCTGGAACGCTTGTTATTATCCTACTATATATAAGCGGCTAGCGTGTGTCTGTTGGTGTGTGTGTGTGTTTGACCGGAAATTCATAGCTCGAGTCACAGTAACGATAGCGCAGTGGTTCTTACATATGTTATAGGGGGTGGGATGGGGACACAAGTGGTACGTGATAGGAACTGATAACGACTGATAATAGCTGATAAGAGGGGCTAGAAAGCGAGCATCGCCAATTTCGTTTTGCCGTTCATATTGGTAAAAGAGCGTCTATACTTACAAGTGTTATGTGGGGCGGTCCCGGGACATTGGTGGTACATGATTGGAAGCGATAGCAACTGATAAGGGCCAATAAATGACGATGCGTACTGTGGAAGATCTCCATGAGTACGGAGAGCAAACGGCGATTGTTCCAGCGTACCCTGTGCAAGGATTTCGCTCACATAACCCACAGCGCGGATGTGTTCCGACTGTAGTTCAGCGATTTTCGCACCAATTACATCTAGTGCGCTATTTTGAACAGCGGTTACGAGAATGATTTGCCGCTTTTTGGCAGACTCCTCGGCCATAATCGCCGCACATACCGACTTACCTGCACCATATGCGCTATCCACAATTTGGATAGGATACTCTTTATTATACATATTGATTGCATTGACCTGATCAGCATTAAGTTCTATTTGCGATCCTGCCACTGTGACAGTGATGGCATTCATGATCCGGAAAATCGTAACCGGTTACCTGTATATCTCCGGATAAAAGGACACGAGCCGCCAACCAACCTACTGAGTTCGGCTTCATCTGCGGCATACAAGAGTGTTCAAGTAGAGCAAGCACGGGATTAGCTCGCTCATCCAACGTATGGAGGACGGTTCCTACTGCGATTCGCCCGTTTCGTGACGCAAGAAGGTATGCTCTGAACCGGACTCCATCAGAGGTCTCAAGTCGAGCAGTGACATCGAGGTATTCCTCTTCCATCTCGATGTCGATGATTTGTGCTCACGGCAAATCGTTTTCATACGCACCCTGAATGGGACGGCCGACAGCCCAACCTGTTTTCTTAGAAATAGTTATACGGAAAGTTGCTAAAATAGGAAAGCTATTGATGTTGGGTGAGGACCACACGGCAGCATGCACGGTGGTGTCAGCGGTCTCTGCAATGCATGCTGCAATAGTACCGCATGCTGTACCATAAAGGGGTGCAAGAAAGGACCCGACCTTGTGTGGTCGTTCGCGAAATAGGGTGAAGTTGTTGAGCTTCTTCAACACAAGATCCTGGTGCTCCTTGCTGTTGAGCCGAATGTCGTATGGGGCTCATGCTAGGCTCGGGAAGTGGGGAACGTCCATCCATATGAGAATCCAGTTCCTTTGGAGTGGTGCTCCGCATACAAGCAAATACCATGTAGTCGAGCTGACGCTCCCGAAACGGTGCCACAATAAAGGAGTTCTCTTTAATGGAGGGAGCATCCCTTGCAGCTGCCAAGCGAAAGCATGATGCCCTGACAATCTGCCTGTGACCTTGCATGCACAAATGGAACATATATGGTGATCGCTCGACTTTAGTAACAAACCCTAATGTCGGAGTGAGGTGTCGATGTATTAGTGCATACCGATGTACACGCCAGACATTCGGCTTACGATATGCTATAGCTTGACTTACCGTTTGGTGATGGCACTTGCTACATCATTCAGAAGGGACTCATATGTAGTGACTTTAACCACAGCCTCATCAAAAGTAAGGGATTCGCGGCTTTTACATGGAATCTTGAGCGCGGGTTTTAATCTGTCCTGGAATTCATCCAGTAGGCGCTCATTCTGTGCTTGCTTTAGGCTGACCCCGAGTTACCTTCTTAACAATCTGCTTTATTCGGTCAGCAAACTCACGGGCACTTTCAGTCGGACCCTGCTTACAATCGGAGAGTTGTTGCCTAGCCAAACTTCGAAATTGGGGCGACTCAAAATGCGTGCGAAGGTGGTCAACCACTTTTGCATAAGAATTTTTATCGATGTCTGACAGAGTCATCGATGATGTCCCTGGCCCCTCCTTCCAAAAAGCAACCAAGGTGTTAATACGTAGTTGGTTCGGTAAGGGAAGAGCGACCATGCGGACCACGTCTTCAAATTTTCTCAACCAGCTCTCAAAATCCTGATCATCCGATCCAGAAAAGCATTTAATTGGTTTAGGTGTGAGCTGCCCGTAGGTCAGGCCACAAATGGGTGTAGTCACAGGATCACCCTCCATGGAAGGGTTCTCCTGAGAACGGTTAGAAGAAGTTGCCTGAATAGAAGTTGGAGTATTGAAGACAGATGGCAATGATTGATGAGAGAGGTCCTGAGAAGCTGGTGAACTTCTAGTTGAGCGTTGCGAACGTGTAATCGCTGAACTAACGATGAGATGTGTGCGAGAAGCGTATCCCCTAGAAACACAGCAGTAGAGAAGGCCGATAAGTGCCTTCGCGGACGCTATATACTTGTTCAACTTTACACCCCCTATCAGCATTGTCATCGCAAGCCGATGTTTCAATTTGCGCTGGGAACTGTTTTCAAAGCGCTTTGTTTGATTCCTGAAGCTTGGGAAAGCGCCAGAAAAATTTGCGGCATTTGCTGCG